TTCATTTATTCAGGAAGAAATTCCGGGCCACCTGTAGATTAGATTAGGTCAGGTCAGGTCAGGCTAGGTCAGGTCAGGTCAGGTCAGGTCAGGTTAGGTTAGGTCAGGTCAGGCTAGGTCAGGTCAGGCTAGGTCAGGTCAGGCTATGTCAGGTCAGGCTAGGTCAGGTCAGGTTAGGTTAGGTTAGGTCAGGTCAGGCTAGGTCAGGTCAGGCTAGGTCAGGTCAGGTTAGGTTAGGTTAGGTCAGGTCAGGTTAGGTTACAGTGCGTTACTTCTTGTTAGATTCACGATAAACACAGTAGATGTATGACTCGTGTACACATTTATCTGGTGTACACATGTGACCCGTGTACACATGTGACTCGTGTACATATGTGATTATCTGTTGTATTTCTTCTTCCTTTTCTTCTTTGTTTTTCTCATTGCTCTCTCTCTCTCTCTCTCTCTCTCTCTCTCTCTCTCTCTCTCTCTCTCTCTCTCTCTCTCTCTCTCTCTCTCTCTCTCTCTTTCCTTCTTTCCTTCTCTCGCCTCTACAGCTTTTCTTCTCCCTTCCCCTCTCTTCTCCCTCTTACCTCCCTCTCACCCCCTCTCACCTCCCTCTCGCCTCCTCCCTCTCCCATGAATCGATTTCATTAATTTGAATATTGGGAGAGGAGGGAAGGAGGGGGGGAGGGGGGAAGGAGGGGGGGACAGGAGGGAAGGAGGGGGGAGGGAAGGAGGGGGGGAGGGGGGACAGGAGGGAAGGAGGGGGAGGGGAAAGGGGCGTCGCTAATCACCATTCCTTTTCAGTGTTTTGTCACGCACCGTCTGATTGACCCTCCCCCTCCCCCCTCCAACCTTCCTACCCCCCACCGCTACCACCACTACTACCACCATCACCACCGTTGCTATCTCTACCACCACCACCATCACCACTAGTACAAAATTACAACGAACACGCCGCAACCACCATTATCACTACCACAACTACCTCTATTACTACCACAACTACCACTATGTTAGTTAGTTGGCGAAAATGTAATAATAATAATAATAATAATAATAATAATAATACAAGTACTATAAAAAATACAAAAATGAAATCAGATCAATAGTGAAACAATATGTTGTGTTGTCAATAGTAAGAGAAACAATTGAGACCCTGCAATTGTGTGTAAATGAGGCAGAAAGTCAGATCATCAACCTGGGACTTGGTCACATATGGCAGCAGGGTCTACCATTAGATAACACATTATGTTTCCAATATCTTCCCAGTACCTCCCTGTTTGGTAGCTGCCTACTAGGTTAGGTTATGTTAGTTCTTGAGTTAAATAAATTAAGGTATTTTTTGTGAGTAAAAACCACGTGACGAAGTTTATCGTCTTTACCACAGTACCTAAGTGTTCGGTACCGCTCTTGCCTCGTAAGCGAGATGTCACGGGTTCGATTCCCGGGCCGGTGGAAGTTGTTTGGACACACTTCCTAGCCCCCATTAGTCCCTGTTCACCTAGCAGTACAGTAGGTACCTGGTGTAAGTCGAAAAGTTGCGAATTCGTATTCAGGGACAAGTTGTTGGAGCTTCCAATAACTTGATGACATAAACCATTGACTCTTCAGGCTTCTACGCCCTTGACTCTTCAGGCTTCTACGCCCTTGACTCTTCAGGCTTCTACGCCCTTGACTCTTCAGGCTTCTAAAACTCATGAGACATAAAGGCAAGCATGAACTTAGCATGCTTCCCTGTTGGGCGCTGTAAACGCTTCTGCGCTTCACCTTACACAAGGATGTAGGGGAGTGCCCAATAAAAAAAAAGTACCCAAGTGTCTCTCTCTCTCTCTCTCTCTCTCTCTCTCTCTCTCTCTCATTAATCCTGTGGACTAGAGGGTAAAGTAGCACTTGAGTGTTTCTTTCTTGTTAACGCCGGCTATTCAGTTGAGACACACCCTGCCCTCTCGACCAGTGGTGCACTACCTTGGTACAAGTAATCAGCGATCGGCCACAGGTGTACTAAGCCAACATAAGTCAGCGCTGTGGTCCACAGAATTTAAAGTAAAATCATAAATGCAGGACTATATTTTATTGTTCGATAATTGTTATATACAACACCGATATTTAAGACTAAACATAACTCATTCTCACCACACACTGTACATAGTAATTGTAGCACTAGTTACTAGCTTAGTTAAATGTTCTGTAAAGACATTAGGGAAACATAACTTTTAACAATATAAAATATGAAACTGTCCTGGAGCAGTACAAAATAACGGTTTAATAACCGATTGGCTCCCGAAATACAAGCTTACAGGGGAAATTGTTTTATGAAGTAGTACAGTTTTATGATAGCCTGCAGTACAATACCCCCCCCCCTAAAACTGATGTGATGTTATTATAAATGACATACAATGTTCTCCATGTGTTTATTGAGGTAAAATAAAGTTTACATTTCGTATAGGACAATAAGAGCTTCAACTACAGCTACAGCTACACAGAAAAAGTTGGTTCTAGTGTGTTGGGGCAGCAGCCTTCACAAGGTGTGTGGTGTGACTGCTTGTGGTGAACGGTACTTGTTCTTCACAAGGGTAAACACTGAGTCTCTGCTCACAGTATGTTGATTTAGTAATAATATTTTTTTACCTTTTCAGTTTTTTTCTTTTCACAGTCTCCTCTTTAATTGCCGTATGAGCCGCAAACCTTGTTCCAGGGACGGTCTTTGCTTCGGCTTGATGTTTTAACTGTTAATGATCCATTTATCGAAGTTTTTCGAATATGATGTTTCACCGGGCCTAACTTGAATAGCCAGCTGACCTAGGCTATAAACCTCAGATGCTTTAGAGCAGCTTTTCCCTCTGAGCAGCTCTCGCGGCAAGTGTGGTTGTAGGTAGTCTTTCTTCTCGCCTTGGTCCTCGTAAACTTCTGTTCTTATTTTGCGCGCCAATCCAAAGTCAATGAGAGTGACTTGTGGCTCATCAGTTTTTATCTTCTTGACACAGATGTTTTCTGCTTTGATGTCGTTGTGACACCAGCGACGTTTTAACATTTGGGATATTGTTGTCATCACGTCTTCCAAGATTGCGACCGATTTTTTTACTGTTTTATGTTCTACATCCGACCCATACTGGGCCAAAGCATCACCACCATATCGTGTTATCAGAGTTTTCTCTGAGGGGCAATAACCAATTAATTTCTGTACCCCTGGCCCTTTATTCTTGATCAGCCCATTGAGTTCACAGTAAACATCATCGAAATTAGTGTCACTTTTAAATGTTTTCAGAACTACTCTGTCGCCGTCTCTGTTCACCACATTGCATGTTCCATATCCTCCAGAGCCTAGGGACACGCAGGACTTGTCTTCCTGCAACTCTTTTATCAGCGACCCTGGGAAAATTTGTACAGCTTCTCGCTTCAGCAGATGTTCTATAAATTGATCACCAGGAGTACCCATATCTAACTTTGGACCATTCTCGTTCATTACCGGGGGACTAAACTAAGGAATTTAAGGAGAAAAAAAATGTAGTAAGAGGTACTGTGTTTAGCTACTGCCTAATAGTGATAGTGTAGTGAGTGTAGTGAAGATGATAGTGTAGTGAGTGTAGTGAAGATGATAGTGTAGTGAGTGTAGTGTAGGTGATAGTGTAGTGAGTGTAGTGAAGATGATAGTGTAGTGAGTGTAGTGAAGGTGATAGTGTAGTGAGTGTAGTGAAGGTGATAGTGTAGTGAGTGTAGTGTAGATGTTAGTGTAGTGTAGACGATAGTGTAATGAGTGTAGTGAAGATGATAGTGTAGTGAGTGTAGTGAAGGTGATAGTGTAGTGAGTGTAGTGTAGATGTTAGTGTAGTGTAGACGATAGTGTAGTGAGTGTAGTGAAGATGATAGTGTAGTGAGTGTAGTGATGATAGTGTAGTGAGTAGTGTAGTGAGTGAGTGCTAGATGATAGTGTAGTGTGTAGTGAAGATGATAGTGTAGTGGGTGTAGTGTAGATGTTAGTGTAGTGTAGACGATAGTGTAGTGGGTGTAGTGTAGATGATAGTGTAGTGAGTGTAGTGAAGATGATAGAAGTGAGTGTAGTGTAGATGATAGTGTAGTGTAGATGATAGTGTAGTGTAGATGATAGTGTAGTGGGTGTAGTGTAGTGTGAGTGTAGGTGATAGTGTAGTGAGTGTAGTGAAGATGATAGTGTAGTGAGTGTAGTGAAGATGATAGTGTAGTGGGTGTAGTGTAGAGGGTAGTGTAGTGGGTGTAGTGTAGATGATAATGTAGTGAGTGTAGTGTAGATGATAGTGTAGTGAGTGTAGTGAAGATGATAGTGTAGTGGGTGTAGTGTAGGTGATAGTGTAGTGGGTGTAGTGTAGATGATAGTGAAGTGAGTGTAGTGTAGATGATAGTGAAGTGAGTGTAGTGTAGATGATAGTGTAGTGGGTGTAGTGTAGGTGATAGTGTAGTGGGTGTAGTGTAGATGATAGTGAAGTGAGTGTAGTGTAGATGATAGTGTAGTGGGTGTAGTGTAGAGATAGTGTAGTGAATGTGGTGAAGGTAATAGTATAGTGTGGATGAGTCTATATTTGAAGAGTCTCAGTGTTGCCAGTTGATGTTTTTAAACCTATTACCCTTTGAGAACTACTAGTCAATATAGTTTTGCCACCCGTACCTCTCTTCCTTCTCTCCTCCCCCTGTCACACCTTCACATCACCCACCATTTCCTATACCTTCTCCTCTCTCTCTCACCTGACGGGAACCTGTTAATCACATGGGGGCGATTGTGTTTAACTTATGGAATTTTGTGAGAATTTTTTTGAGCAAATATTTCTACCTGTTGTGACGTATTTATGAGATTATTGTGTTTATTATTATTATTATTATTATAGAAAGAAAACTATAGTTGAATGGCCAATGAGTGAGAGAGAGAGAGAGAGAGAGAGAGAGAGAGAGAGAGAGAGAGAGAGAGTATGTTTAACACATACCCCGGGCATCACAACACAGTAATTCTTCCTTCACTCACTGATGCTGTGCTCTATCTCCCCCAGATCTATAGCGAGAGGTTGTGGTCTTGGTGACGTCTGGAGCCACCATCCTCGTCAGCTCCGGCAGTAGTGGTGAGGGAACCTGATCTGAAGACTTAAGCTGACAGGGCCTTCACTAAGGAGTTTGTGGCGTGAACTGCAGTAGAACCAAGACCTGATTTTGGTTAGAGAGTTGAGAAGAGTTGAGGGGGTACACGGGTGGAGGAGCTGCCAGTCATGGATAGAGTGTAGACGAATAGACAGAATCTGGTCTTGCTGAGGATTTGTCCGGGTCTAAGATGTGATCTGATGAAGGATAATGACGGGACAAAGAAGATGGTGTGAGGTGTTGGTCCCAGTTGACGACCTTCACGGATCACTGAACTGTGTTTGAAAACTTGTTGACATTATCCCTCTAATGACACCCACCCCGCGATGACTATCAGACACGGACCTTCAGAGTAGCAGGGGGGTGGTGGAGGGGGTGAGGGGGGAAGTGGGTGTAAGGGCGTGGATGGCAGGCGTGGAGGTCTTACGTGGTTGTGATGGGAGGCTGCTGGCTGCACGCCCACTGAGTCGTCAACTATGCTCTGCTACCTTCATACAGACGACAACCACTTCGCAGACGCTCACACCGCCACCACACGCAGATGACCTACTCAAAGGACCTGCTGTTGCCACCTCTAGGAACTGAGTACCGCTAGTGTAGGGGATCAGTAGTTGCTCCTGTTAGTGGTAAGGGGCTAAGTTGTGTGTGAGTAGATAAAGAACACGCTTAGTCACCGTCTCTGTTAACACACGTGACCTTGTGACCCTCCAAGAGACACATTGTTACACTCAGCGGGTCACGTCAGAGTCATAAGAAAAAAGTTGCAGTTGAGGACGTGTGAGTGTCGGAGACCTGTATCATGAGGAGCCTGTGGGACCTGTGTTGTTATGTTAGTTGTTCTTATAAAGTTGTAATACTTAAACGGACACATGACTGAAGGATACCTTTTAGCGTAGACTTGGAAGAACAACTCTTGCAGGCGTAAGCGTGTAAGGAGACCCCAACCGGCGAAGTAGAGTGATTAGTAAGCTCTCGGGGCCGCCTTTCATCATGTTTAACTCAAGTGACATTGTGTCTTAGATATAAATCCACTGAGACGTGAGTGAGTGAGCGGGTAGCAGACGGCCTCCATCATGACCAACACCCACAGCCTGGTGTCGGGAGTGTAAGTGTGTGAGTCAGTGTGTGGGACGTCGCTCTGGCTAACACGACGATGACCAACTTGTCCTTCTCGACTGTGGAGGAGTGGCTGGACAAACATCCGGACCTTGCCGCCGACTACTTTGTGAGGAAGGCGGAGTTGGACGCCGTTAACAAGTGGCTGGTGGCCCACGGCTTCCTGACGGTGACACAGGGTTCCTCCAGCAGGCGAGGATCTGCCAGTCTCTCCTGCAGCCCCATCGTCAGCCCTTCCTCTCCCATAGACAAGTAAGGTTATAACTCTCTCTCTCTCTCTCTCTCCGTGTATCACAAGAACCACTGCACCACATAGACCAGGGGAAGGGGATGTCTCACTCGGCCAGGTTATGAGGTAAGGCGGGGGAGGGGGGATGAGGGGGTGTGGAAGAGATCGAGGTCAGGGGGTGATCATGGGTCAACAACCTCACACAGGAGCAGCCGTAACTCAGGGTATATGAGGGTCGTTAACGCCTCCACCACAACGACCCAAACTCTTGTATACCAGCGAGGTGATGGTCGCCTCTATGGTCGCCTCGTTAGTACCATTTACCTGCATATTTGAGAGTGATGTGGAAGGGGGTTGGGAAATTGGGTGGGAGGGGGAGAAGGAAGGAAGAGAGGGAGGGAAGAAGGTAAGGACGGAACAGTGTCTCCTTTACTGTGAGGCCTCCGTATGGCTCGCCGTCTTGTGGCCAGTCGTCCCTAATGAGGAAGACTATTTTTTCTTCCTCCTTTAAGGGATGCTCACTATGACTGACGCATCTAGTGGACAAACGTTTATGATGTACAAAACGATGGTTCAGGTATAATAAAAAAAACTAATATTTCACCACAACGATATGGGTTATTGACTGGGGATATTTTTCAGGAGAATTTGTTGTACATTAATTAATATTGTTCAGCCACCTCTAAAAGTTAGCTTCTCCTTCAGAACAATAATGCAGCGCCGGCAGCGTTAGGATCCTGAACTATTCTCCTTTGAGTATTCTTAGTTATAATGTCCTTTTACTGAGGATGTTATACTTATTTCCTCTAGCATTACGTTCTGAACAAACACATGATTCCTCACGTCCGCTTTTGGTACTGTCACCCTGGACTCTCTCTCTCTCTCTCTCTCTCTCTCTCTCTCCTGGTGAAGTTGGCATGTTATTGAAGTTCTCAGGGAAAATTTTCACTCTTAATTCATATGAAAATTATATCCTTGATCATTATGACAACAGGAATTTCAATATATTTTTACATGCATATCAATGACATACTTACACGTGACTCTGTATTACATAAATATCAAAACAGATGCTACCCAAATGACCCGTTATCGTCCAACACCAGGTAAATCTCTCCCGGCGGCGGGGATGTATAGAACTATTTCACTCTCTATGTTTAATAAAAGATTGGATCACTTGTTTTAATATGAATTTATACATTCTAGTGTTGTGGTCTGATTCCCACACACGAGTCACAGAGGCGGGGGCTCTGAGCAGTACACACACATCTCGTCCCGAACTATAGCGAATGAGCTGTTACCCAGACTATAGCGGCCCGGTAACACCTCCAGTCTCAGTGTAGTAAGAGTGTGCACCGAGCGGCCAAAACTGACGACTGAATGATGGCGTGAGAACACAAGATAGGCACAAAAAGTTGAATATTTGTTCCCACACGGAGTATCTGTCGAGGTGACGGGTTTAGAAAGTGTTACTCAAGTAGCTGTCTAACAAAGCGGTGCCTGCGTGTCATGGCCATAAATCATTATAATTCTCCATGTGTGCATCATATTAATGTTTAGGTTAAGATTCCGAAAAGGTCGACCACGGAACTTAATATTTATGTTTATATTTCACCCAAGAACTTACTTTACGGTGGGTTACACTGTTTACATCTGACTCACGTGGCAGTCACCGTAAATATCGGTGTCACGTGACTATGTCTAGCCAATCAGTGTTGTTCTCGGTGTCACTTGATAATTTGCGCATGCTCAGAGCTCCAAATTTTTGTTGGTTAGTCGCAAGATGGCTTCTCTCTGCACGGGTGTTCTATCTCAGCATGACAAGCCATCCATCGTGTATTTGAAAACCAAGCCGCTGCCATTGACATGTTTAAGGCTCATGTTAACCTCTGTGAAGTGCTGCAGGTGTTCATAGGGAAAAAACATAGAACGATTGTGGAAGGATACCAAGAGTTGATACCTCGTGACGCTGTACATGTTCTAAGCTGAATTCAACGATCACAGGACTATACTTCACTATTTCCTCCTATAAGAAGCATCACTTTATCCTCCAGCATCTGTTAAGGTCAGGTCAGGTCCTTCGAGTTTCGCTGGTTAGGCGGTTTCGTTAGATTTCGTTTCATTTTTTTTGTTCATGTTTTTACCACACAATTTCCCTGTACGTACTTCAAAGTCCTCCTGCCCCTCTTTGTGTATAAAGTCGCCAGGCGTGAACACCTCCAACTGTTGGGACACACCTGGCAATTATACTTGGTGTCGTGCTGTTTACCTCGTGTTGTATGAAGCTCCATCTATGGGTTGAAAGTCAAAACTGAACCAGAGACTCACGGGGTTCACTCCAGCGGTTCATTGGATAGCTGGGCACAGATTTTTTTGAGGTAACTGGACGTTGTGAATAAGGTTGATTTGGACCATTAACCTAGCCTAACGTAACCTCGATTAACTTAAACAGCCTCACTTAATCTAGCTGAAATTTTACTTTCTAAATATGTAATTAAAATTTGTGGGAAACAACTAAGAAAAAAAAGTTACGGGGAATATAACAGTTGAAGTGTACGGTGGCGGGGAGTCCTGCGTCAGTAGTTAACTCGCATCTCTCATTACCTATAGAAATATGGTTTAAACTACCGTCATGTTTACTGAGTATATCTACTTATCTTTTTGGTATTTTTTTTACAAGTTTCCCATAATGGTTTTGGATATGAAACTTAGGTTTTTCCGATGTTTTTTTTTTTTGTGTGTTTTGAACGATTCTGACCTTATCCAGAGCAAATGACTCGGTTTTGAGTTTGGCGATCTTGGGAGACCCGTGGGAAATGGAGGTTTTAGGGTGGGGGAAGAGCAGAAACTAGTGATATACTGTATAAGTGACCAAAGTTGACTCTGATTTTCCGTTTTTAGCAAGAAAAGAAAAGCCAAAATCTGAGAAGGAGCCAAGTTTTGACGAAAGATTATTATCAAATTCGAATAAATCCCACCAAAACCCATTGGAAAAAATCTAAGTTTGGTCTCAAAATCAGTTTCTGTGCTAACCTAACCTAACTTAACTTATTAAGCGTGAGCAGGTAGTGAACACACAGGAGCTCTCTGAGGACGCAGGTAACATCAACACTGGACTCAGAAAATATTCGATGACTCCAAAAATATTGTGGGTCATTATGGGCAAATTGTTGAAAAAAAAAAAAAAAAAAATCTTGTGCTTTAGGATGTAGTGAAACCTGACGTCTCCGTTGTTGGCGTAACACAAGACATCAGTGTACCCCTCTCCTTCCCGCCATGATGAGTCAGCCCAGCGGCCCTTCCCCGCCCCTGACCAGCACAGTACCTGGCCAGACGTCCTTGGGATTGAGGGAGGGAGGGAGGGAGGGAATAGAAACAAGGAGTAAATGAATGAGGAACGAGAGGAGGTAAGGAAGGAGGGAGAGAGGAAAGGCAATAAAGAAGATAAAGAATGAAGAAGAGGAAGAAATAAGGTAGGGAACGAATGAATGAGGGAGAGAAAGACCTAAGGTGTACACACATACACACACACACACAGACAGGTCGTTGCCCTCAGTATGATACAATAATCATCATAAACAGTCATGGCTGCCTCACCTGGGTCTGTGTGTGTGTGTGTGTCGGGGCCAACCACACACACGATAGCTGGTGACAGATGTACAAGCTTTTCCAGGTATTATTATTGATATGAATACTTGGTTCTGACAGCTGACAAATTGAACTATTTCACAGAGAGAGAGAGAAAGAGAGAGAGAGAGATAAGTGAATATGGAGATAGAAAGACAGAGGAAGAAAGAGGGGAAGAAAAATATACAAGAAGAGAGAGAGGGAGAGAGAGAGAGACCTGGTACACAGCTGTCTCATATTGTGTCATAATATAAGTTTAATGGCCCAGCTCTCTCTCTCTCTCTCTCTCTCTCTCGTTGCCAGCTTATAAACGTGAAATACCCTCCCCCCCCTAAGTAATATAGACAGTGTACGTCCAATCCCTTGCTCTTATCTACTTCATTGTGTCATTATAATCCTTGATATCATGAGATAATATTACCAGTATAGCTAAAATATTAAGAGAAACAACGCTTAGATATTATAGGTTATGACCTCCCGAGTCTGTGTTGGTTAATTGTGTACATTACCTGCGCTGGCAATACTGTGTTATGTGGTGGTTATGTGGTGTGGTGGTTATGTGGTGTGGTGGTCATGTGGTGTGGTGGTTATGTGGTGTGGTGGTCATATTATGTTATGGTCATGTTATGTGGTGGTTATGTGGTGTGGTGGTTATGTAGTGTGGTGGTTATGTGGTGTGGTTGTCATATTATGTTATGGCCATGTTATGTGGTGGTCATGCGATACTTATTCAAATTATAAACAAAAATAGTGTAAGAATTTTGTTGCATATTACATATTCATTTTCTAACCTAACCTAACCTAACCTAACCCAATCTAACCTAACCCAACCTAACCTAACCTAACCTAACCTAACCTAACCTTTTTACCCAGACACATTATACTACATTGAAATGAAAACAACAACACAATTTCACTCGAGGGTAAACTTTACATTTAATTTGGTATATAAATTTCTGTCGCTGCTGGTTTAGTGTTAAAGGGACTACACATAAGAAAATAAACCTAAAATAAACCTAAAACTTAATCCCAGTGCTTGAGCGGATGTAAACACCAATTGTGATAACTCAGAATAGGTTTAACTGGGTTATTTAATTCCTTCCCCTCCCTTGAACCGTGTCGACCCGGGGCGAGACAGACACACACACACACACACACACACACACACACACACATAAAATACAATATTACCAGATACAAAATAATGCCACCGAAGAGACTCTAGAAACAGGGAATAGATTGAAACTAAAATAAAATGAGGTTACGCCTCTGAGGGAGGGACGGGGGGGGAAGATCAGGCTGTACCATATTTTAATTTTTACAAAGGAATGGCAGATGGGGTCTAAACTACAGCACAAATATGAGTGGGAATTGAGATAGATGGAGGTGGGTGGCAAGTGGTGGTTAGTGAAGATGGGATTGTCGGAGTGAGCAGGTGGAGGTGAAATTATTATTTTTATTATTATTAATCTTAAGTGCGTGGGGTGGTGTTTCCGTTTTCTATGCCTGTGTGTGTGGTGGAGGTGGTAGTGGTGGTAGGAGTCTCTCTCTCTCTCTCTCTCTCTCTCTCTCTCTCTCTCTCTCTCTCTCATTTTAAATTTTTTGGGCTTATATATTAATTATCCCGTTAATGGTATCAATAATAAGAAGCAACAACCACAGGTGGCCGAATATACGTGACTGACAGGTTAATGAGTGACTCTTTCATTACCTGGTCAATAAGACTATGTTGTGAGGTGATAGATGGACGTTTAAGTAACACTATCACCACCACTACCACTATCATCATCATCATCACTACCACCATAACCACTACCACCACCATCACCATCATCATCACTACCACCATAACCACTACCACCAACACTGCTACCATCAACACTGCCACCATCCCTACCACCACCACTGCCACCATCACCACCAACACCACCGCCATCACCATAACACTACCACCTGCCACTACCACCATCACCACTACCACCAACACTGCTACCACCAACACACCAACACCACCACCACTACCACCATCACCACTACCAGCAACACTACCACCATCACCACTACCATACTGCTACCATCCACTCCGCCATCACTACCACCACCACTACCACCATCACTACCACCATCACTACCACCACCACTACCATCACCACCAGCACCACCAACACCACCACCATGCACCACCAACACTACCACCACCACCACCACCGCCACCACCACCACCACCACCACCACCACCACATCTCCAACGGCAGCACCCGGCAGAAGTTGGAACATGAAACATACTCAATGTGTGTAGCGGCCGCCAAACATATTCTTCCCAAACTACAGTTACCTGAACCATGAAGCAGACCTACACTCCCAAAATAGCCAGGGAAAATATATGTCACGAGAATGAGGGGGAAAAAAAGGGAGGAAATCATGACCCGGGGAAAGTCTTCTAAGTAGTTTGATAGTCGGGAAAAAAGTCGGGGAAAAAAGTCGGGAAAAATAATTAGGTTTTAGGTCTCATAATACGTAGTTAATGGTCAGTACATTTATTGACTTAATGCAATACATGAAGCTAAAAATACGCTCGGGTAAGGTTAAGTAACACGTCTGCTGTCTGGTAACTAAAAAAAACCGTAAAAAAAAAGTAAAAAAAAATAATAGTTAGTGTTGAGAAGTTCGTGTAGGTTAGGTGAAGGTCGTCCTTGAGGGTGTTGTCTGAACTGGAGTCTCTTCAGCTCCTCACCCTTCCTTCTCCCTCACCCTTCCTTCTCCCTCACCCTTCTCCCTCACCCTTCCTTCTCCCTCACCCCCATGCCCCTCACCCCCTTCTCCCTCCCCTCCTTCTCCCTCACCTCCTTCTTCCTCACCTTCCTTCTTCCTCACCCTCCTTCTCCCTCACCCCTTCTCCCTCACCTCATCTCCCTCACCCTTCCTTCTTCCCCACCCTTCCTCCTCCTCACCCTTCTCCTGCCTCCTTCTCCCTCACCCTTCCTTCTCCCTCACCCTTCCTTCTCCCTCACCCCCCCTTCTCCCTCACCCCTCCTTCTCCCTCACCTTCCTTCTCCATACACCCTTCCTTCTCCCTCACCCCTCCTTCTCCCTCCCCCCTTCTCCTCACCTCCTTCCCTCCCTTCCTTCTCCGTTACCACTTCTTCTCCCCACCTTCCTCCTCCCTCACCTTCCTTCTCCCTCACCCCTCCTTCTCCCTCACTCCTCCTTCTCCCTCACCTTCCTTCTCCCTCACCCCTTCCTTCTCCCTCACCCCCTTCTCCCTCACCTCCTTCTCCCTCACCCTTTCCTTCTCCCATACCTTCCTTCTCCCCACCCTTCCTCCTCCCTCACCCCCTTCTCCCTCACCCTTCCTTCTCTCCCCCACCCTTCCTTCTCCCTCACCCTTCCTTCTCCCTCACCCCCTTCTCCCCTCACCCCTCCTTCTCCTCACCCTTCCTTCTCCCTTACCCTTCCTTCTCCCTCACCCTTCCTTCTCCCTCACCCTTCCTTCTCCCTCACCCTTCCTTCTCCCTCACCCTTCCTTCTCCCTCACCCTTCCTTCTCCCTCACCCTTCCTTCTCCCTCACCCTCCCTTCTCCCTCACCCTTCCTCCTCCCTCACCCTTCCTGCTCCCTCACCCTCTTCCCATTTGCCTCTGTCTACCCAGCAGTAATTGGGGACCTGGATGTTAATCTATTTGTGGATCGTGTTCCGGGGTAATGGTTAGCCAGTGCAGTTGGCGAGTTGTCCGGTCTTCTCGGACTATTCCTTGACTCTGGATCATGCAGCTCGTTAACTCAGGGTGTGGTTGTTGTGTTGTGTTGTGGTGGCCCTTGGACCAGACGGATGTTTCTGTCACAACAGCAACATCGTCCTCACACAACACCAACTGCTAGAGGACAATGTTGCTGTGGTAATACAAGTTGTAATGTGATCTCCCACGAAAGTCTGTACGTCAATATGTATACACTTCTCTGAGACACCTTATACCTACACTGGTTGTTAAACTTGTGAGTATAGTGTATATTATCACCATCAGTCGTATAATACTTCCCCTGTTGTGCTGTGAAATGCCCGGAGTCATTATCACTGACCATCTCTCTCCCTTAACCCACTCCTTACTGACCTTGACGACCTATTACATCTGTGGTCACCTCACTTATTACCATTAACCTGTAGCCTATACCTGGGCTAGATCCTTCGAGTTGGTGATGTCTGGGGGAACTTAGCCATTATTTAAGTCTGATGTCTGGGGAACTACATCAACTGATGACATAAGGGTGTTAGAAGATGACCTCATTCACTCGTTGCTTTATACTAAACTGGTGTTAGTGTCAATGACGTCAGGATATATGTTAGTTATCCTGTCTCTCTCCTTTACCTCCAGAATCTCAGACTCGCCCTTCAACGATAACGACTCCAAGACTCGGCGGACCAACTCCAAGAAGTACCTCCGCCACAACTTCGCCAAGTGCAAGAGCAAGTCGGTCTTCAGGACGTACGAGCCCTCGGCGGCGTCCGCGGCCGCAGAGGCACGTAGGAGTAGCTTCAGGTAAGACTATCAAAGAATCGTATCTTACGTTATACCTCATACTCATAACACACCTTCTGTTACGGTCGAGTCTCGGTGTACTTGTGATCTACGCCAACTGGTAATGGAGACGGAAGTGGGTGTTGGAAGTGGGAGTATCAGAGATTTGTTTGGCGGCCATTTCAAACTCCTGAATTCATCCATCATTAAGTTGTGTTGAGTCCGAGGGCAATTTTGGTGCCATGTTGACCGTCACACATGGACATCTCTAGTCTTGACGGGACGATATCATCAACTGTTCGTGTGTTTCTTGTCACCTTAACTGTAGGTGACAGGCTGGTCTGGACTACAGTCTTAGGTCATGCTGGAGAGTCGTCTTGGCTGGTCGCGGTTCTTTGTGCCTCAACCTAACCTAACCCAACCCAACCTAACCCAACCTAACCCAACCCAACCTAACCCAACCTAACCCAACCCAACCCAACCCAACCCAACCCAACCCAACCTAACCCAACCTGAGAGACAAGAGAGATAAAAAGATGTTTGGTAGAGACTGTAAACAGGTTGAGGAGGCACACAGAGAGACGATGATAAAGAAAGAAGTGAGAGAGACAGGGATTGATAACTAGAGGCAAGAGAAGGGGAACACAGGGCAGAGAGAGAGAGAGAGAGAGAGAGAGAGAGAGAGAGAGAGAGAGAGAGAGAGAGAGAGAGAGAGAGAGAGAGAGAGAGAGAAAGAGAGAAAGAGAGAGAGAGAGAGAGAGAGAGAGAGAGAGAGAGAGAGAGAGAGAGAGAGAGAGAGAGAGAGAGAGAGAGAGAGAGAGAGAGAGAGAGAGAGGCTTTAATTAAGAAGTGCTCACAGGGACTATTTTCGATTCTCGTCAGTGGTGTGTGTGTGTGTGTGTGTGTGTGTGTGTGTGTGCTGCAGTAACTCGTCCATAGGTGCTAAACATGACATCATAACAAGTCGATCATTACGTGCTAGTGTCATGGAGGTACCGCATAGTGTGGTGTCACATCACTTAGCATGGCGCTGATTGGCTGTGGAAAAGAAGTCAGGGTCAACCCGGCGCTCATTGGCTCGCTCAGCATATTCGAAATCGAGGATATTTTGGAGTAATTATGCTAGTTTTATCTAAAATACCCTTTCATTCCTTAACATGATCATTAAGACTGGATGTTACATGTTAAGTCATTATATTACCAACATCATACTTCCATCTTCTCTTCACCAAAACATCGTCATTATTACATTCCGCTAAGATGACCCGAGTACAACGTGTAATAATTAATCAGAAATAATTGTCATGCCAAAATAACTTCTTTTCAGCACATTATTTACAAAGTACATTAGGAGACGCAGTGTGTCGTGTGGTCAGAGCTCTTGGTGGGACGGAAGCTGTATATGACAACTATAACGAGTATTCAAACTAACTGTATTCTAATAAAATACTATTTAGCAAGTTAAACAAATATATGTTTTGTTATTTATGTTTTGGTACACAGTGTTTTATAAGCATTACATGAAGAATTAATTGAAGATTCTAGAAACAAACAGAAAATTATTTTCCCGCGGGTGATAATGTAAGAACTAATGACATATTAAGGGAATTATGCAGTAAATATATCCTTTTTATACCACAAAGTAATGTAGACTAATACGAAACACTGGGTCTCTCTTAATCTCTTCCCCCAGAGGGTACGTAGATTGGGTGTCCATCCATGATCAGGTGTGAGTCTCCTGCGTGTACGTCACCTCCTCCCTCAGGGCCTCCAGAGCATCTCGCTAGTTAAGGAGGGAGAAGAACCGCTGCTATATGACTCACCAGTGTCTCTTGATACGGTGGTGTGAGGTTGTTGCTCCGGTAGGCTGGTGTGCCCCTTAAAGATGTCCAGCTGTGGCCACTGGCTCAGTTGCTCATTTTTGTACTATCGGCACAGGTCATTTAAGTAGGCAATTCACTGCCTGTAACTCCTGTCACTTTGTGTAGTACAGTACGAGGATCTTAAAACACTATGCCCTGACGTAACGACATAACACACTTATCAACCAGTGGCACGATAATTTAAAGAAATCTCATAATTTATTTTGGTTTCAAGGGGGACACACTACTAAAGTATCACAAGCTCACAACACTGTCGACCTACAGGTGGACTCAGAGGGGAACAGCTCTCATGACAGCTGAGTTCTCCTGCTTTTGTCATGACGTTACTGACCTCCACCGACTAGTCTTTCATCACGGTCGTATTATTAAAAATCTTACTTTCCCTCGTCGACGCAACCAACACCATTCTTCTCCCACAGTCAAAAAAGAAACTCTGAGGTTTATCCCAAGAGCCGAGGCTTATTAACGAAACTTGCAGAGGCTTTGGTATTAGCCTCGAGTCTTCTGATGTACCTCGCTATTAATGTGTGGGAGAATGACGTGTTATGTGTATGAACCACCACAGTAATTTTTTTAATAATATGACTGGTTTTATTGTCTCTCTGGCCGTGTGTTTGGCTAACGCTTCTCCTCTCGTCTGTAATGATGTCGCTCGCTGCATCAATTTAGTCTGTATGTGTGTATATCAACCAACCTTACGTGGGCAATATCTACGACGTTTACTCCTATGCTCTATATACATGTTTCAGCTCCTGCTATATTTAAACCAATGTCCCAGTATACGCCATGTGACTCTATGCTCGCGTTAACTATCTCCAGGATAACGTCTTGGTAAAATGGTTCTGTGCTTTATTTATTTCGTCTCTCTCTCTCTCTCTCTCTCTCTCTCTCTCTCTGGTACAGTTCTACGTGTCTCGCAGAATAAATGTTATCGGCCTAATATTTGTCGTCGCTATAAGCCATCTGTTACCTGTCGTCTTTTACTACAAGGTGAAACAATATTACTCTCAAACGTTGTTGTTCTTGATCGTCGTGTGTGTGTGTGTGTGTGTGTGTGTGTGTGTGTGTGTGTGTGTGTGTGTGTGTTCCTTTCTCCTCTATGTGTACAGCATGTTTGGACCTCTTATGTGTGTGTCTTGTACCGGATTGCCATTTGACGTCTCTGTTTGTGATGATTCTTACGCCTTCTAACTGAGACTTGTTTAGAAGATCATCAATAGCATTATCAGTGGCTTTATGTACCCTAGGTCATAAAGTACCATAGGTCATAAAGTACCCTAGGTCATAAAGTACCCTAGGTCATAAAGTACCCAAGGTCATAAAGTACCCTAGGTCATAAAGTACCCTTGGTCATAAAGTACCCTTGGTCATAAAGTACCCTTGGTCATAAAGTACCCTAGGTCATAAAGTACCCTAGGTCATAAAGTACCCTAGGTCATAAAGTACCCTAGGTCATAAAGTACCCTAGGTCATAAAGTAATCGTGTAAGGTGTTGTAGTATCAGTCACAAGACCTTTTATTGTTAGGTTAGTTTATATCTTGTGAAGGCAGTTTTGTGAATAGTTAAGTGAACAGATGATGTTGTTTTAAAAATGTAGAATACGAACGTTAAACATTTATTAGGTACTTAATCCTTCCTTCATCCCTCCCTCCCTCACATTCCTCCAGGGCGATGAGGAAGTACAGCTCCCTACCTCCCTCATCCAACTACATGCTCTGCCTTCTGATCGAGTCAAAAGTGAGGCTGCCCAGGTTTCAGAGCATCACCCTCGATCGTAAGAAGCAGCTCAGGTCACAAGACGAGAAGGACTTTTTTCTAGACATCGTGAAGGACATCGCTAATGACCTAGACCTGGAGGGACTCACACACAAGATCATCGTGAATCTAAGTCTCCTGCTGTGTGCTGACGGTGCCTCGCTCTTCATCGTCCAGAACACCAGCGCCGGCAAGAAGGTCCTTGTGTCAAAGGTTAGTCTTTATGCCTCACACATTTATAGTTCACTCTGACGGCAGCATTGTCTAGGGAAGGTTAAAGAGCCCTAACGTTGTAACTTAAATGAGTACTTTCACCAAGGCGACCTCAAGTGATGCTGCAATTCTGAGGTCAAAGGTCAAAGATGATAATAATCAAGGCATGACCTGGCGTGTACTGCCACCTTCCTCCAGTAGCTAGGTGGGACAGGTTAATTAATGGCAACATTGGCACTTCTATATCTCGTGTTTATCTTCCTCAGTTTGTCTCTCTATCTACATGGTACATATAGATAGAGAGATAAATGCTAATATCTCTCTCTCCACAACAGTTATATGAACTCGCTCGCTGTTAATAAGTTATGAGCCTTGAAGAGGAACTAACATTAACGTAACCCGACGTCTGGCCTCAGGTTAGGTTAGGTTAGGTTAGGTTAGGTTAGGTTAGGTTAGGTTAGGTTAGGAAAGCTATAACTGACGATAAAGACAAAATAGGGACTTGAGTTTATATAATAATTATTGTGAATAATCGAAGTTAATCTGGTGTGTGTGTGTGTGTGTGTCAACAATAATACATCATTTATTTCACACACACACACACACACACAAACACACACACACACACATACACACACACACACACACACACACACACACACACACAAACACACACACACGCTTGCATACTTACGGTAGTCCATCGTGTCGGATGATGACTTCCTCTTCTGGTTTATTGGTGAGTCCTACGATGGCTGTAGAGTCCAATCCTTGACGCACATTGCTCATTACAAACAGGGCCTTGTACTATATAGTGTGGGTCTGGGGGCGGAGAGACGCGCGCTGCCTCCTTGACGGTGTTTACAAAGTAGACGTGTTCTTGGGTGGACGATCAACAGAAATGTTTTCCAAGTTAAATGGAGTCATGTTGCATTACTTCATGGTTATTTTCACCTGGTCCCTGTAGCCTTTCCTTGACACACGGTAACACCAGGTGATCCCAAGAATGTATTACAGACACTTAATGTGGAATGCTTCAAGTGACGGCTATAAGTCGTCTCTCTCACATCAAAGGTGTTGATATACAGACTACCTGTTTGTGTTCTTAATTAAGTTGCTCGTTTTCTCAGTCTACCAAAGGAGGCAGAACCTTGCCTTAAAACGTTTAGAATTTCCTTATTTATGTTAGAGTTATAAGAAAGGAAGCTTCCTGAATATTGAAAGTTTGGCCCGATGACCATTGGCCAATTCATTCTCACCACTAGTTGAAGCTGGTGGCCCGAGTGAAGCACCACCACTGGCACATGATTTTAGTCTTTTGAGTGTTGACGGAAAGTGCCATTATCTATAGTCCTTAACAACTACAGAGAGGGTAGTCTACGGCGCCTCTGGTGTGTGGGGGGGCGTCACAGGGCCAAGGTCCTCTATACTGTAGCTCAAGGATAAGTTCTGGTCTTGCTCTTGTGGCAGCCTCGAGTCTTCTCAGGTTAAACACGTTGCCGTCCACACACACCTGTCCTCCACACACACACCTGTCGTCCACACACACACACACACCTGTCGTCCATACACTTGTTGTCCACACACACCCGTCGTCCACACACACATACACCTGTGTCGTTCACACACACCTGTCGTTCACACACACACACACACCTGTCGTCCACTTACACCTGTCGTCCATACACACCTTTTGTCCACACACACCTGTCACCTCAATACACACACACACACACACACACAGACACACACACACACACACACACACACACTCTCTCTCTCCCCTCCATATACACGCCTGAGATATTTCACAGGTGTTTTGAGTTAATTAAGCATTACAGCAGTACTCTATAACACTAAATAACAGGCGTAACCAACAAGTAAACTATCGAGCAATTAATCTACAAGGTTAATTGTGATCGGTAGTAACTAACAAGGTGAATTACGAGCAGGTATAGTTAGTAATTAATTAAGGTAAATTAATACTTACGGTAGTTTGTTTTTCATGGCTAAATAATTCAGGGTGTCTGTAATTAGTTGAGGATCAGTTCAGGTACTGTTATGGACAGCTAATCGATACGTGTATATTAGCTTTGTTTACAGAGCTAATATTGAGGTAGAGTTTGTTTACAGAACTACTCGTCAGCTAGTTTGTGTTTACAGTTCATTGGAGAGTTATAATATAGGTGTGTGAATCGACTTATCAGCTAAAATATTTAATTGTAAGCTAAAATATGTTTATAAAGCTAAGGACACGCCAGTTTACTAGTGTCAATAGCTTATCCTCAACTAGTATGATGCTATGTTGATTTATACGGGACTGTAGTTAAATAATGTATTAGCGTACAAAGCTAACGTAAATAGTGGTCAGTACTCTACCTGAACATCTTCCTACGCATATCTACCATTTATTGATATATCTACTCTGTCTACCCCCTACTCTGTCTACCCCCTACTCTGTCTACCCCTTACTCTGTCTACCCCCTACTCTGTCTACCCCTACTCTGTCTACCCCCCTCTGTCTACCATCTCTACCTGTCTACCCCTACTCTGTCTACCCCCACTCTGTCTACTCCCCCACTGTCTACCCCCTACTCTGTCTACCCCCTACTCTGTCTACCCCTTACTCTGTCTACCCCCTACTCTGTCTACCCCTCTACTAACACGTCTCTCTCTGTAGGTGTTCGATGTACACAGTGGTACCAACATTTACCCGGCCACTACAGAGGACAATGCCATGGAGGTCCCTTGGGGTAAAGGCATCCTGGGACACGTGGCTGAGACTGGCGACACTGTCAACCTCGAGTACGCGTGTGAGGTAAGTGATGGTAACAGCTTCTGAGGTCATGTGTATTGAAACAGTTTATTTAGCCAGATAAACACAGATACAGAGTGGATAATAATGGCAATATTAACATGGCTGAGCCAGTTGAGAACCTGAGCTCTCTTTTAGGCACCTGATATATACTATACATTTATCTCAAGGAAGTATTATGTAACATTTAGTATTTATTTTATTTATTTTTTTACATTTATATTAAAGTATTTTACAGTGGAGTTGATTATACGTTAATATGATAAGGAAGGGAAGCAGTACAACACGGGTTGTATTAAGGTGGAACAAGAGAACAGAAGCTGTCAGTATCATTTCTTGTCGGCAAATATAATTATTGCAATGGTAATTTCTATCTATGATATAATGGTTTTGGTGGTACAATAAAAGTAGGACTATAAAGTGGGTATTACGAAAATATTAATACTTAGACAAATCATATTTTTTTAGTGATCATTTAAAGGAAGGGAGCGTAGTCTTTGCTGAGATGGGTGGGGGTAAGTTGTTCCACACCTTCACACCGTGATATTTTATGGAGGTCTGGGACTGAGAGGAGCACATGGGGGGTGGTCTCAGTGGCTCTGGGTGCCTTAAGTTGTATCTCTGATTATTCCGGAACTGGAAATAAGTATTGCCAATCAAGTGATTGATAGATATGTAAACAAAGAGGGCACAGCAGTAGGTGTTAATGTCTTCGAATTTTAACATTTTCAATTTAGCAAGTTGTTCGTAAGTGTGATCATTGTTTTTTTTTCAAGTAAGTCATTGTCCGTACAACTCTCTTCTGTACGGTAATCAGGGGTTGTGTTTTTGTAGAACCAGCATATGAAGTGTTGGTAAACAAGATCATGATAGATTTCTTTCATTGTTGTAAGAGTGAGTGACTGTCGAGTGTGATACAAGATACCGCACTGTTTATTGACTTTACTGTGAATGGCTTGTATGTGGTTTCTCCAGCTTAATTTATCATCAACAATAACGACAAGGAATTTAGTATTTTGTTCACTTTTGAGGACTGTATTACCAAGGTACAGGGGGGTCCAAATCTCGGGGTAAGTTTATCCCTCTGTGAAAGATTGTGTCGTGGGTTTTTTCGAGGTGTTAGGTCAGTTTATTATATATTACCCAGGTCCTGACTTTAGTCAATTTAGTGTTAATAGTTTTCATCAAGGAATGGAGGTCTGAGTTGCTGGCATAGAGATTAATATCGTCTGCAAATAGGTTGTATTTAATGAGTGTGCTGGAGTGGACTATATCGTTAAACCATCATTCTTTAAGGGATAAACCATTGTCCTCAAAGGGTTAAGTGACACAACAGTTTTACCACAGTTAATGAGTAAAGATAAAACACCAAGGCAACGTTTAAGAAAAAAAATATATATATTCAGACAACATTTATAAGATTCACCTCAGTTAAGTACAAGATTTATGATCACTGATGTAACAAAAGCGACGATTTGTAATTAACTCCAGACATCATACACGGTATATAAACAATATGAACTAGGACCTGAGTTATTGTGACATGAACCAAGGTATTTACTCACTTCAGAGACAATAAGAACTAGGACCTGAGTTATTGTGACATGAACCAAGGTATTTACTCACTTCAGAGACAATAAGAACTAGAACCTGAGTTATTGTGACATGAACCAAGGTATTTACTCACTTCAGAGACAATAAGAACTAGAACCCTGAGTTATTGTGACATGAACCAAGGTATTAACTCACTTCAGAGACAATATTAAACAAACTAAGGTCAACTGTACACAGGTTAGGCCTTAGATAAAATTACTGATCAATACTCTACTCTCCAACTATGTCGAGTAGTTTAAACAGGACAAATATATTTAGTTTAGCCTCCTGGCCGATACTTCCTCTTCAAACATACTTAACGGGATAACATACGATACAAAATCATACTAACTCGAAACTTATGTCCTGCCACTTGAGTGTAATTGAGAATGAACGTGATTGGTTGACCGTGGGGTTAGGTAGGGTGGAGTGCCTCAGGGGTAGTTAAGTGTCTATTAATTATTCACCAGTTATATCACGGCAGCAACGTTTTGATTGGTTACCGTTCATCTCAGCTGTCATTCTGTCTCCTGGTTGGTGCAATTACACTGTGTCTGGTAAAGCTACTGTACACAAACAAGCCTCCAGTAGTTGATAGCAGGGGAGAAGCGGCCGCCTGGTGAATAGGTTAGGTTAGGTTAGCCTAGGTCAGGTTAGGTTAGGTTAGGTAACCACTCTCTCTCTCTCTCCTTAGTAACCTTTACTTTTTCTTTCTTTTCTTATTTATTCTCTTGTCTCTGCCTGTTCATTTATTGTCGCATGTTCATCTCTCTATCTCCTTCCTTCCTTCCTTCCTTCCTTCCTTCCTTCCTTCCTTCCTTCCTTCTTTACTTCCTTCCTTCCTTCCTCCTTCTTTTTTTACTTCCTTCCTTCCTTCCTTTTCCTTCCTTCCTTCCTTCCTTCCTTCCTTCCTTCCTTCCTTCCTTCCTTCTTTACTTCCTTCCTGGCACGAAGCAAGCACCAACAACAACAACAACAACAACAACAACAACAACCACCACCATCAATAACAACAACAACCACCACTGAATAACAACAACAACCACCACCATCAATAACAACAGCCACCACCCAGATCAATAACAACAACAACCACCATCAATACCATCAACAACCACCATCAATAACAACAAATAACTACCATCAATAACAACAACAACAACAACCACCATCAATAACAATATCAACAACTCACCATCAATACTAAACAACCCTCATGACGGAGGAGGAATACACATAAATAACTTCTTTCCCATTTCTCCTCCTCCTCCTCCTCCTCCTCCTCCTCTCCCGCTGATCTGCACCCCACCATCTCAGCCTGGTCACGACAGGGCGCCCCGGGGAGACAAAGTTTTTACAATGTGTTTTGGAGTTTGGGTTTTAGCAGCCTCTCCTTAGCTCCCCGGGGAGTAAACCTCGAGTGTACGGGACGGGGAGGGGAGAAGAGGAGAGGGGAGGGGGGAAAGAGAAGATGTTAAGCAAAGATAGAAGAAAGGGATGAGGGAGGGAAGGAATAAGGGAAGAATAAGGGAGGGTAAAATAACAGAAGATAGTACATGGGAGGGATGATTTAGAAAGGGGTAAAGGGAGGGTGTCCTTCCCCCCCCCTCTCAGCTCCTTCTCCCTTTCTCTTCTTAGTCAATCCACTTTTCTCTCTTTCTTTTCCTCCCCGTTAGCTTAGTCTGATTACTTTGCACAGGACTAAAGGAAAGAAAGTGAGAGAGAGAGAGAGAGAGAGAGGGTATATAACACCACCCACCACCACCACCACCACCACCACCACCACAACCACCACCTTCACCACCACCACACCACCACAGCCACCACCACCACAACCACCACAACCACCACTACCACCACCACCACCACCACTACCACAACCACCACCACCACAACCACCACTACCACTACCACCACCACCACCTTACTCGTGTAGCTCGATTGACTAAATAAGAACGATAACTTATGACACCTGAACGAACTCTTATGGAACGGGGGCCCTAATGTTGTTTACTTTTACAAATATTTACGTGAGTTTTATAAATGGAAGGACAGACAGAGAGACAGACAGAGAGACAAAGAGACAGACAGAGGAAGAATGAACGAGTGTGTGGGAAAGAAAAGCAAGAGAGTGAAAGAATAAAGAGAGAGAGAGAGAGAGAGAGAGAGGGAGAGAGAGAGAGAGAGACACACTTATTCCTGGCGTGACTCTTATGAATATTTCCTGTGGACTTTCAGAGAACTATTTGTACCACTTCTCTGTGTCAACATTCACCCTGGCATGACATATTCACCCTGGCATGACACATTCACCTGGCATGACACATTCACCCTGACATGACACATCCACTTGGCATGACACTTTCACCCTGGCATGACACATTCACCCTGGCATGACACATCCACTTGGCATGACATATTCACCCTGGCATGACATATTCACCCTGGCATGACACATCCACCTGGCATGACACATCCACCAGGCTTGACACATCCACCTGGCATGAGACATCCACCTGGCATGACACATCCACCTGGCATGACACATCCACCTGGCATGACACAGGTAATTACACCCCACCTGGTGAAGTATCGTCGTGGTGGAGGTTGTGTCGGTGTAATTGTTTTGTGGTTTATCTCAATTATTGTCAATTGCGCAGGTAATAATAGAGAGAGAGAGAGAGAGAGAGAGAGAGAGAGAGAGAGAGAGTTGCAGCTATAGTAAGTCAACGGATATATCTTGCCAGGTTTCACTATCAGCCCTCGTAAAATAGAAGGAATAATTATACTACTACTAATAATAATAAAATGATAATAATAATAATAATAATAATAATAATAATAATAATAATAATAATAATAATAATAATAATAATAATAATAATTGAGATAACAACAAATTTAAATTGTTGTGTTGTCAAATATAATAGTGTTGTGTCTCGAGTTCCCACCAAAATCCTCACCGGGGCAGAGTGCTTTCTTGGTACGAGCAACAACCAATAGCAGAGTCCGATGTAGTGACGTTAGAGTGCCAGGTAGTAGATGAGGATAATTGCTTGTTTCGTCGGTTGGTTCAGTGTGTGTCTTAGCGGGGGTAGTAGTGCTCAATAACGAGGTTCTTTTATCTATATCGCTAATGGCGTTAGGTTCACTTAATGCGCATTCCTTAACAGTGTAATTTGGGTTTGAATAAGTGAGAAAATAACACGTGTATAACCTGAATAATTTGACTGTACTCGATTAGGTAATATTCTAGATTGAGGTGACACCAACCACCACGGTAAGGGGAGTATTTATTATTATTGATGATAAATGAAGTATTGACGTATTACAATGAAACTGACTGATATTGATATTATTATTGACGATATTATTATTGTGAGGTGGTGAAAGAAAAATAAAAAATAAAA